TTTCAAGTCATCCTTGCCGACCTTGCCAGAACCGGAAGCACAAGATCACCCCAGCTAAACGCACCCGCAGCGAACCATGGCCCATGCAATAGTACCTCCTTTCTTTGCGTAGAGTCACTCGCACCCAAGATCTTAATTCTAACGCTACGCCGCCCGCCTCGGCCTGATTGCTGACTGTAGCGGCAGCATGTGTCTCGGAGTCTTCAGCTCAGGGATTGAGTCTCGAAGTTGGTGTCACTGGACTTTGGGGGGGGGAAGGGGGGGAGGGGGGCAGAAAACTGTACGGTCAGGACCAGAAATTGGGCCAAAAGCGGGTGTCAAGAAACTTTCTGGGTGCAGAGAGGAGAGGTATTGAGTTTAACCCCCAAGACGCCTGAGGCCTGTGGCCTCGGCGGATTTCGCGATTCGCCGGCACCACTTGCCTTACTTAGTTTCTACTCGTGAAGGTTGCGACTTTCCACATTCGTGCTTAATATTCCTAAGTCCTGCTCTAACCTGCCCTCCGCGAAGCTCTTACGTGGATGAACCTACGGACCTCAGGAATCCTCGCACGGGTTGTTTGGGTAGTCACAGCAATCCCTCCTCCTTTCAATTCCACCTTCCACCAGCCGGCGCTGAGCTGACCGGACGGGGCATCGGGCTGGTAAATTGACGGCATGTCTCTAATGCATCTCCAACTCGGATCGAGGGTAATCAGCTGTCCAAGATCTTCGGCGCGTCGTCTGATTACGCACATCAGGATGCCTTGCGGCAGATGCAGGCCGCAGAAGAGGCAGCCAGAGCACAGCGGCAACAGCTCGGATCTCAAGTCGAAACGGAAGCGCTCGCTAGTATATATCCAGAACAAGAGTAGCAGACAAGGTTCGGCAATCTGCGTACATTGAGAGGTGGGGTCTGCAGATCCTAGAATCCTAGAATCTGTCTACGACTTCCTAATGTGGGCTCCGCAAGTTTCAACCACGATGTCGGTGCCACTCCGCTCAGCTTAGGTGGGATCAGCTCTACGCGCAACACTTTGCCAGTGCCCGAGCCAAGTATTTAGCAGGGAATGGACTCGGAACCTCGCCGCACAGAGGAGGCGGCAGGATTCGGCAGGATGTCACGTCAATCGAGATCTGCCTTCTGCGGTAGCTAGGCAGAACGCGAACCGATACGGAGTTTGAGTCCTCTAACGAAGCATCTTCTTGTGAAAAGTATGGAAGAAAGGCACGGGGCAAAACGACCTGTCAGCTATCGAGATCGCATCCTGCGCCATGGACGGGGACTCCACTCTGACAGGGATTGTGGGAATGTGCTAGGTGTAGCTACAGTTGAATATTACTCGCATACGTGAAATGCTCCGCGGAGTGAGGGTCGCAGTAGAAGCTTTCCGTTTTGCTCGCTTCTGCCGCTTCTGTTCTCAGCCCCTGACCAATCGATAGTGCAGCCTTGCCTGCCTGTTGCGAGTTGGAAGATTCGAAATGCCAGAACCTTTTGCCATTTGCTTGGCGCAGCAAGTGGTGAAGCAATTGCGGTCGTCTCAAGAATCGCAGCAATGTCTTGCACGTTCTTGTCTTTACCTCTCTCTCTCTCTCTCTCTCTCTCTCGCTGTCTTCCTGCCTTTCTGCATCTCTCGCCCATCCAACCGGCGCTTTTGTTGGAGCAGGCCGTTTCCGAAGGCACAAGCGGGGTAACGGCGATGCTCAAGACAGACCCCGGTAAACCTTGTGGTGTGGTGTCAAAACCCATTGCGGGCAGGCAGTACGCAGACGCATGTGGGATTTGGAAGGGACATCAGCCGACCTCGTGTATGAGCTCGTCCGAGAGGAAGGAGAGGGACCACAAACATCTTGAGACCTTGCACTGGACAGCTGCAAGCTAATTTGCTCGACTGGGAAAGTTCAACTAACTAAAACTTTAAGAACTGACCACACAGGGCGAGTCCGCCACAGATGGACAGCCGAACCAAGAAAGAGGCTGACGTTGTTGTCGCTGTACCTGCGAGGTCAATTCACCAGCACCTTTCCAAGCATGCATTGAATGAAGACTGCTCCACTGTTGCAGCGGCTGCAAGGCCTGGTACCAGCAGCAACAGCAACAGCAGCAGCAGCAGTCCCAGCAGGCCGGGGCATTTGTTGTTTGGCTCGTCACGTACTCGGGTCACAGGTACAGATAGAGCTTGTGTGCCAAGGCCCGGCTGAGCTTTACGAGAGATTCACCGTAGGGAACCGTCCCAACGCTGCTAGACATGCCGACCAGATGTTCGAACCCGGGAACCGTGCCGCCACGACACTGTCTAGAATTCTTGTCCCGAAGCCACGATCTCGGGGCAGGCTGCAGCTGGCCAGCCACCGGCGGAGACTGCTGCATCTGGTATGGTTAGCCCCCTGGGCCATCTGTGAGCGAAGTTGACTGTGTGTGGCGAATGGGTGTGTCAATCATGCATCGCTTTAGGATCTAGATGTCGGATGATTTCGGACCCGTGTGGAGATACTGGATTTGTAGCGAGGAAGTGGCTTGGAAATCTTAGCTGCCGTTTTCTCTTCGTCGAAACTATTACATCCTGAGGTTCCACCAAGCTTGAACGCAAGCATGGAGGCGGGCCTTTGGTACATGGCGAGGTCGGACTAAAGCATTCAGCTCTGCAACCCATTTGCGCCGCAGAGTGCAACATGGCTTTGCTTGCACTATTCTGTAATCATCTTCTTATTCAAGTCTTATTCTCATTCTTCTTCTTATTATTACTACTACTGATATTGCTATTCTTCTTTTTCTTGTTGTTGTTGCTGCAGCTGGTGCTGCTGGTTCTGCTGGTGCTGCTGCTGTGCTGTTGCTGTGCCGTTGGTGTTGCTGTTGCTGTTGCTGTTGCTGCTGCCGCTGCTGCTGCTGCTGCTGCTGCTGCTGCTACTGCTGCTGCTGTTGCTGCTGGTTTTGGTGTTGGTGTTGTTGGCGTTGGTGTTGGTGTGTTTGGTGTACTTATTTTCCATGTTTGCAATACTCTAGTTTTATTATGCATATGTACATATAGAATGTAGATAACACAATATGTTGTGTAATTTGTGTGTATATATATAATACATGCATATATATATATATACATGTGCAAAATTACACGCATGGATGGATGGATGAATGGGCGGATGTGTGCATGTGTATGTATGTATGTGTGTGTGTGTACGTGTGCGTGTATATGTGCCGGTATATGTACATACATCACACGCAGATCTATAAACATCCAATTCTTACAAATACCTGCTTGCCTGCCCACCTACCCCCCTCTCTCCTACCTGCCTACCTCCCTGCCTGCCTGCCTGCCTGCCTGCCTACCAACCTACCAACCCACCAACCAACCAACCAACCAACGCACCAACCAACCAACAATCTCACCAACCAACCAACCAACCTACTTACCTGCCTACCAACCTAACAACCTACCAACCTACCAACCAACTGACCGACCGAACAACCAACCAACCAACCTACCCACCCACCCACCCACCTAGCTAGCTAGCTAGCTAGCTAGCCAGCTACCTACCTACCTACCTACCTACCTACCTACCTACCTACCTACCTACCTACCTACCTACCTACCTTACCTACCTACCTACCTACCTACCTACCTACCTACCTTACTACCTTACCTACCTACCTACCTACCTACCTACCTACCTACCTACCTACCTACCTACTTACCGACCTTTCTGCCGGCCTACCTGCCGACTTACCTACGTAAATACTTGCACACATGAGTACACACCTACATCCGTACCTCCATACATCATCATACATACCTGCATACATGCGCAGGAGCAAATTGCGTTTGCCAGGCCCTCAGGGGAAGTGGAGGCCCATGCCCACGAGTTGTTTTTGAATAGAATCGTGGTCGGGATGCTTTCCTTGTTGGCAAGCTAAACTCTGGATGTGGAACGGGGCATCAGACAACCTTTGCGAAGACTTCTGCCTGCTGGTCGGCGTGGGTCCACTGCCACGCACGTGTTGGCGAAATCACAGAGCCTGATGCTGCAAAAGCTGAGGCGATGAAATGCAGCGTGGTTCAGGAAATGGAGGCAAGTTGACACCGGATGAGCATCCAGTCAGGGCTGCTGTGCCACATAGCCATGCTGCTTTGCGATTGTCCTCGCTCCTGCTTATCAGGAGATGATCAAGAGCGGTGTTTCGGTCGCAGACCGCAAGAAGGCCATGAACGACACTCTTTGTCTGGTGACTTGGACTGCTGCAACGCCACTCCACCTGTCGCCTCGCTGCTAGATGAAGCCATTCACTGCAGGTTCGCTCTTGTTTGACACTGCTTGTGGCCACTGCTGCAGAAGATTCGCATCTGACAGTGGAAGAGATTCTAGCAACCAGTTCACCTGCTGCCAGGCGCTCAAGAATTGGCAAATAAAATGGCATCCGGACAAGAATCCGGAACAGGAAGAGGCACTGAGCACTTATCCAGAGTCCGCAGTCAGGCACATGGAAGACATGAGCCGGAATTGACAGTGGCACCTACTTGCTTGCGCTAGTTACATTTGCCCTGCTGTTTGGCCCACAGCATCACATCATAATCTGACATCACAGTATATTCGCGTGAGAGCGATGTGGCGATAGTTGCAGTGGATTTTGCGTGGTGCTACAGTAGTGGGAGTGGTAGCCGTAGCAGTCGCAGGGGCGGTGCACACAGTAGGTTTAGTAGTAGAGGTGGGGATAGTAGTGGTCATCGTCGTCGTCGTAGCAGTAGCAGCAGCCGCCGTTGCCGTTGGTACTAGTCTTGGATCGCTAATCCCCCTGTGTGCTCCTGTTGCTTGTCGTCGTTGTGTTTGACCGCTACTGTGTCGTCTAGTGATCAATAGGCCGGAGTAAGAGTCACGCAGTCCGTAGCTGCGGTCCTCACAAGCACCAACACATGACCAATTGGAAAATGTCTGAGGGCACGCGCTTGCCGCTATCTTTCCTGCTCAAAGCGTCCTGAGCGCGCTCCCTAGAGGTTTCCTCCCGTGTGCGCCTGCAATTTGCCGGCCATGGCGCCTAAGGCAGCGCCGAAGGTGCGGCGAAACATTCAAGTGCCATGGGCAGTTGGAGTAACCGTGTAATGGTGGCAGCCACCCGATAGTCACGGTCATTCGCGTCATATGCGCAGCATGTTCTCCTCCGGGAAAGCTACGAGGCCCAGCAGCGAAGTACGCCTCCTCCGGAAGGCGATGGCAAAATGACACCGACCCACCATCTCGACAATGTGGCGAGCATGTACGACGAGCAAGTGCAATGCTTGGCCTGCTCCCTGCCAGGACCCGGAGCAGAGGCGGACCAAGAACTGGGCGATGACTATGACATGCCAGTCATTGTCAAGGCAGGAGGTAGCAGCTAAAGGAGGCGGCGAAATCAGAAAGCCCTATCGACAGTCTCTCAGGTGCGACCAGACGATCAGCTGCCACTGGAACCAGAGGACTCGACTAGAGTTTGACTCTGAACGGCAACGTTGCCCGGACTTCTCGGGCCAAGCTGAAACAGGATTTCACATTCAAGATCCCATGCAACTCTTCTCTCCTGTGTATTGCACTGACATAATGCGTGCCATGAAACAAGTGGTTCCATGACAGCTGCATACATCTGCAGGAGTTAGAGAAGGAGGTGCCTCCACGCGTTCTCTACCCGCTGAACCCGCAATCGGCGCACAACACTACGTGCCTGGTACTAATTGGAAACTGCCTGGACCTTCCGTGAGGCAGAGAGTATCAGTGCACACTCGAAGCACTTCGGCACGCATGACATGAGCAGACTCAGGCAGTACTCCTTCAAAGAGAAGTGTTTCAAGGTGGATGAGCAGGCATGGGTCAACCATCAATCGCAGAACTTCGCTGTCGGAAAGCCTAAATAGGAGAAGCTAAGGTCAACCCCATGCCTTTCAGGGCGTGTGTATGTGGCAGCCATGCGACAGGTGGATCAGGTCGTGATGCACTTCGCCAGAGATGGGTTGATCTTGCTCAAAGATAGCCCGGAAGCACAAGATCAGATGGAGGCCGCAGCATTCAGGGACGATCATATACAGGTCCTTTACGTGGTCGGTCGGGAAACGGGATGTTACAGACAGATTTTCCTGCCATCTTCCAAGATTTCCAGCTTCCGGCCGGATGCTGCAAGAATGTATGTCGGAAAGGGGTGCCATACCAAAAGATCAATGAATCGCAACCAGTGAGTCATGCTTGCGAAACTTGTTGCAAGAAAGCATGCAAGAAACCTGCTCAGGTCTTGGAGAAGAAGGAGGCTGAGCAGAATGAGAAAGAGGAGGCCGAAGCGATCGACGAAGACTTCGATCCGCCAGAGAACGATAAGGACGGGATTCGGGAAGTTGAGGACTTCGGTGAAGGCTGGATCCACTTGGCACTGCAACGCTGTAGAACTGTAGTCGTCAATGCGACACCCTGGCGGCATTTGATCAAGATGCCAGGTTTGCGTGTTTCTTTGTCTCTGTGAGTGTGTTATCTGGCTGGTCGCGCGGAGCGCAGGAAGTGCCAGTGAAGAACCCCCTGCGAAACTCGGCAGCAATTGTGGATGCGAGTGCGGTCCTGCCACCAGTGCTTAGCGAGAATATGGGCATGTGCTAACAGGCAATCAATTCAACTTCTCCGAGCGCGCCGCCCAATCCAAGAATGCCTTGCTGCGTAACTCGGTTCAAGTATGGCCTGCTGCGAGCGTGTGCCAGGTGGCCACCATAGGCCACCTCTCAGCAGGATCGATATCTTGTGACTGCAAGGGCTTCATCAGTTAAATTGGTCGTGTGTTGGGCTCGCGCCTCTTGTGCCGGCAAACTCCTGCATGCCATTTACTGTCTGAGTCTGAACGGCATCGTCTGACGAGCACTAGATGGTGGGATTTTGCCAGGGGAACGAAGCTGGACGACAGAGCCGCCACCCACCACCAGGACAGAGCTGACCGTCGGTGCATGATAGGTGACCAGAGATGTTTCCGAGGGTTTGATGGACGGCTGGAGTCGTGTTTTGTCCACGTCGTGGATTCTAGCCTCAGGCAGCATCAAGATAGGTTCCGAGCCGGCGCCTGAGCCCATTGGACTCGAACCTTGCTCGGTCGCCCTGTTCAGACTCGACACGTGCACCAACTTGGCATTGGCAGGAATGATGGCACAGTCACGCAGTGGGAAATTTTCGACCAGTACATGGCAGACATTGAAGCTGCAAAGGCATGGGCGCTCGGTGAATGTAGCTCTTCAGTTGCTGCATGCGCAGGGCAGATGCCTGCTGATTGATTGACAGGAGAAGGAAAAAGAAGATACCTGACTGCAAGACGTACGTGCATCAGTAGCATGCTGGTCTGCTTGTGTTGGCAGAAATTGTCTATAGGCATTATTGGCCGCCTCCTGCTCTTTGATCGACGTACTGCGAGTGTTGCCTGACACCGAGCAACCCAGGACAAGAAGGCTGGAAAGTCGGTTTATGATGATGTATCGGAGAAGAAAAAGAAGTCTGACACGGACCCAACATATTCGGAGAACATGAAGCTCTCGATCAAGATCATGGAGCGCATCTTTGCTCGAATTTCCTGGTAAGCATCTGGCAGCAGGTGCTGCCATGTGGGCTGGACTTCTGAACAACTGCAATGTTGAGACATACAGTCTATGGATGTCCGTGTGTGCGCATACCATCTCGTAACTTCGTTTTCCTGATGACGCATCCTGCAAGCTTGAAATTCAGTCGATAGCAAGCTTGCCTGCAAGTGCACGGTACTTGTCCAAGGTATGGTGAATCAAAACGCGGAGAATGAGGTCTACCATGATTTCAAGCAGCCAGGTTGTCCCTTTGGATACGGTTTTCCAAACCGGTCGGATCGCATAGGCCGATATGCCGGGTTGTGGATAGCTCAGCGAGGCAGCGAGCTATGATACCCGTAGATGCTGCATGCTGGCGACTGCTCAGTAAAGAGTCGCATTGCCTGCAGTTTAACGGTGCTCTTTCAAGGTATTGGGAAGATCGAAGTGACGAGTTCCGTGAGGGCCGCTGGGAATGCAGCATGGGCTCTTCTTTGTGCGTGGCACATGCTTGATCAGATTGAACCAATCTCTCGGATGGACACATCAAAAACTGTCATCAGCCTTGCCATACAGGCATCCACCTCCCCCGGATCACCCGAATCCTACTGTGCCTGCAACATGGTCTTGGCCACACCCCGACCCGGAATACAGTAACATGCAAAGCTGCAATAACATGCAATGACAATGAGAATGAGAAGCAAACAACATGTAAACGCATGTGCATCAGTGTATGCAAGTCGGTACGTGTTTTGATAGTTTCGAGGTTGTGCACCTTCGTCAATTTCTGAATTCGTCGTGCCTCAGGCAATGTATGTATGCATGTACATATGGGCACGGATCTAAATATTGTGGCAACCTGCCATTGTTGTTTCTACGGCCTACGGCTATCCGTGCTACTGTGACACCGCATACCACGACAAGCAGTGGCGGTTGTGAGGCTTGAAGCCCCCCCTTTCAAGACACTCCCGCCCAATACCCAATACTCGGAAGCCCATGTAAGCGTTGGGTATATGTTTGTCAGAATTCAGAATACGTAAATAAATGTCCGTGAAAGTTCCGCTGAAGATGTGGATTTTTCGTCAAGAATGTCATTCGGGGATGAACGAATTTAGATCAGCGATATGTAAGTAAGTAAGTATGTATGTATGTATGTACGTAGGTATGTATGTATGTATGTATGTATGTATGGATGTATGTATGTATGGATGTATGTATGTATGTATGTATGTATGTATGTATGTATGTATGTATGTATGTATGTAGGTGTGTGTGTGTGTGCGTATGTGTATGTATGTGTATGTATATATGTATGTATGTATGCATGCATGCATGCATGCATGCATGCATGCATGTATGTATGTATGTGCGCACTTGTTTGTTGATTGCTACAATTTCAGTTCCAGATACTACCTTGCTGCCTGGCATTCTGAGCTTTAGCCAGGCGATGGTACGCTGCTGCCACTGTGGCGCTTCTCCTCTGAGAAAGCCAAGAAGAAGCAGGCCCGCAAACATCCTTCCAATGCCATCCCTACTGCACTCCAGGAAGCTAGCAAGAGAACGGTGTTTCGCCTTGGAGCCGAACTCAGGTGACATGCATCAAATGGAACCCCCACTACAGCGACTTGTGCGCTGTTGGCTTCGGCTCGTATGACTTCATGCGGCAAGGGAGTGGTGTGATTTGCCCCTGGGCTGGACCAGTTGAAGTTGACATACTCTGAAACTTGCCTTCCAACATTGCACACATGCGCATAGCACGAGGGGCTGCAGGATGGTAAAGTCCTTGCCACATAGCTGCCGCACTTTGAACCACAGACTTACCAGCGCAAGATTTATGTGAAGCGAGGTTGCTATTCCTTGAAAAACACACGCTTCCCCGAGTATGTCTTCAACACGGATGCCGGCGTTTGCTCTTTGGCCTCTCGTCATGCGCTCTACTGACAATCTGTGCTCAGATGAAACCCACCGTTGCATGAAATCGAAATCTCTTCGAAGGACTGGCACCCAGCTCACCCGGCAGTCCTGGCTGTGGGGCTGTATGATGGTACAGTTCTCGTTTACGACGTCCGCGCGCGAACGAAGAAACCTATCTACCAGACTCTTGTCTGAACTCTTGCGAGCAGATGAGCACCTCGCCAGGCCAGGCACAAGTTTCAGGAATTTTTCCACTGCTTGTGGGTGCCTGGATGCTCAACGAGAGCCCAGGAGCACTGTTCGGACCAACAAGCACACAGACCCCGTTTGGGAGGCTGACGCGTTGACGCGGAACTTGCACCTGACTTGTGCACTGTATGCTAGGCCGCTAGGCCACGAGCAGGTGTAGGTTTGAGCGATTGCTTGTCTAGAGTCATGCGGCCCTGCAACCTTCGGGGCCCGGGCAGGCCAAGGCAGTTGCTCGGGCAACATTTCGCGAATGTCCTAAGCTTCCACCTCCAGCCGCTCCAGACTGCAGGTGCGATGGAACCACGACGAGTCCACAGGCGCCCTCAACTTTTATTCCATCTCTTCAGATGGTCGTGTGTCCAACTGGCTGCCCGGCTTTTCAAGCCAATGCTTGGCTGAGGACCAGAGAAGGGTCCCTGCAATGCCTTGCTTTTTCGATCGGGGCGGGTGCGGAACTTGCTTGGTCCTGTTTTGCCCAAGAACAGCTGAGGTTTTTGTTGAAGAACAAGCTGGAAAGTGAGGAAGTGATGGAACTGCCATTCTGCAGCAGATCAGACCTTGCCAACTCTGCAGGTCCTGGTTGTCTGCCATGGGTCAGTGAATGTTCTTCGGGTGAAGAGCTGGGTCTCGGTGCGTGTGTGCGTGTCTTCAAGGGACGGCCATAGACCCAAAGGTTGTGTTAACTTGCAGTCTGCTGCATTTTCTAGGAAGCTGATGGGCAGCCCTGGTGTCGGCGAAGAGGCATACGCTGTGGGTCAAGTTCGGTCGAGACACGCCCCGGACCATGATTTTGACCAGCGAAGGCATAGGCGTCACGCTTGCTCTCTGGGGTGCGGTAAGCTCAAGGTTCGCGAACATATGCTGCAACTGTCTCCTCCGACAGATATCAGTCTGCATGCGTTCGTGCGTGTGGGACGTTTGGGATGTTTTTCACCTGCTGCCAAGCACACAAAATGATTCCCAACAAATGCAGCTGTCCCTGAACGCTCGAATAGTGCAAATCCACGAATCACCAATTGGGAGAGTGGATCAGCTTCGCCGGCTGAATGTTCGTTCATTCATACAGCTCCCCCCTAGCACACAAAGCTCGAATAGGGAGATTGCAGAGTTTTGTGCCCTCAGACGCAGCAGCTGTCGGAGCCTTCCGTGTGCCGAGGTAGATTACCGGTCTGCACTGTGTGGTCATCATGACTTGTGATCTTTGTAAGTGCTTTTTTTCAGATGCTTCAGTTTCAGGATGAGACATCGCTGGCTGGCTTGGCTGGCGGCCTTTGCCACTGGGAGACAACGAGACCGCCATGGCTACATGAATAGTTTCCTGTAGAATAGCTGGCATTGAACAGGGCCAAGAAAAAGCCGTGAAGCTCGATACACATCATTGGAACTTTGGGGTCCAGCACGTGCATGCAATAGCTGTTTGCTGATCTGCTTGCCGCCGTGTGTGGACGAGTCCGTTCAAGGACAAGTTGACTATCGACCCTGCCCAGGCTTCGATTTCCACACACATAGCGACCACAGCCATCTTTTCCTCGTGGGTACAGAGGAGGGGCGCATCCACAAGTGCTCGAAGGCTTGGGCCAGTAGCTTTGTCCAGTTTCGCACAAGTGGTCTTTTGGGAGGTCGCCTTCAAAAGACGAGTTTAGGATCCGTGTCGACTGTCTGCGCGTCGCATCTGACGGGCCGAAGCACCTGACAAGTGAACAGTGTTCGGTCAGTGTTCCAGATCAGCAGTCATTGCGTGCCCAGCAGCTCTGCTTTAGTAATAAATAGTATCCTTTGATCTTCGAGAAAGGCGGACTACAGATTCGTCTCATGGGTTTGCAAGAGTCGTCGATGCAAGAACGTGCGGCCGCAGACGCCAAAATGAACTGGGTGACGATGAGATATGTAGCCCTTCGTCGGTGTCACTAATATTGGACGCTCGTGCTGTCTTTGGAAGGCCTTCAGCGGCCAATACCTGGAAACCTACGAGGGCCACACCATGGCAGTCTACAGTGTCCGTTGGAACCCGCTTCCTTGATTCAATAGAAGTTTACCCATTCCACTGCAAGCTCTACGGGTGAGACACAGGAGCAAATCGTTTGCTCCAAGCGAGGTTCCACGAGAAAATTTTCATCTCTGCTTCCGCAGACTGGATCCTTGGTCGGTGAAGTGGTGCGCTGGTGCACACCACCTCGGGTAAAAGTTTTTTTAATGTGAGGATTGAGAATGCTGGAGGACCAGGCTAGAGGCAGCCATCGCAGGCGTCAAATCCAAAGTAGACCATATGCGGTGATGCAAGGACCGTGAAGCTTTGGAACCACGAGAATCGATTTGCCATCTTGTCCTTCGACCTGTCGCAGGATCGGGACTGTCGTCGCCATGCCGACAAGCAAACCTGCATGCCCGTCAAGTCATTGTTTTGTGAGGTCTGCAAAGAGGAGCCCGTACACCCCACCTGTTGCCAGCAATGCTTCAGTCCTTGGTCAACAGGCCATCGGAGATGTTGCCTGGGCGCCGTACTCGTCCACTACATTCGCAGCCATCACGTCAGAGCTTGGGCTTGGTCATGCTTAACGCGGTCGTTCAGGGTCCAGTGCTTGATGCCGGTGAGTATGTGACAGATTTCCAGCCGGTGTCCTGCGTGGTTGTCACCAGAAGATGTTTTGATTTTTCCACAGGAAGGAAAACCAAGAAAAGAGCAACAGCGACATAGTATCCTCGCGAAAGCGCCGCAGCTTGTCGCCGAGGATGGGGCCGGAGGATCTGTATCTGGCGTCGTTCACATATATGCAGCCCAGACTGCAAATGCCACATTGAGTCATACATCCTCAGGCACGGACTTGCGTCCAAACAATGTGACTATTGCGAGAGAGCACGGTCAGGGGCACCATGTCCCTCGCCCCACGTGTTGGTTCTGGCATGCTCCAAGGACTTGTCAGTCAATCGCAACGAGCACATTTGCGCACAGAAGGCCCGCTGCACCTGTGCGACGGTCGATGGTCTCCCAATGTACGCCCCTCATAGCGAGATTCAGCTTGGCTTTTGTGCAGAACTTGCAGTGCCCGAAATAAATGCAGGTCGGCAACTTGCTGCGGCACTCGCGAGAACTGATGCCGTGCAGGTTTTCGCTTGTGCACTATATGTAGAACTGTCACGATGCGAAGCCGGAGGTTTATGGTCGCTCACTTCTCACGGCTGTAGAAACAGAGCCATGCCAACCCCAGCTATGCATCAAAAGCCTGGAACACGACATTCTTCTGTGATATGCCAAGTCACCTTTGTGAATTTCTGCAGGTGGTGAAGAGGGCCAAGCTCACGCACGTGGCTTTCAGCAGCAGCGAACCCATCATCATCGTCGGTGGCGCTCCGAGTTTTGCAAACATGGAGACCAAGACTTGCTGTCGACCTTGCGCAGATCGCAGTATAGCCTTCGTCTGTCTGGGACAACTTCCCGTCCAGCACTGTCACTATAGAGTCTTCGAGGGTTTGTCGGGTCACCTGAACTGGACACCTGGACCACAATGCGAACTTGGAATCAGGTGATGACCGCGGCGGTGTCAACACCCTGAAGTTGTCCCCCAATCTTCGCATCGGGGTGGTCAGGCACAACAGCTTTAATTTGCACAGGCCTTGCAAGTACGAGATTCCTCATCAGAAGGTTGACAGGGATGTTGCACAGGGTCGCACAAACAACATCAGCAGGGTTTGCGTGCCGGGCAGGACAGAAGACACCGACCCAAACCTCACAGACATGGACCTGCAGCTTCAGAAGATGGAGCACTTGCCATCTGTGCTGCACAGAGTTCTTGCTGTAGACTATTGCTGCAGACTTTTGGAGCTGCTGGGATGAGTCCGAGCGAAATCGTGCGAACTGGAGGCTCAGGCTTCACCCCAATCACATGTTCAATGCTTCGGAAAATGATGAGGGAGGGTCTTTCGTATACATAGTGGAGAAGGAGTGCAGATCGGAAGGACATCTCGGGACAGCCCCTGCACTAACAGGTTGTTGCATGAACCAAGGCTCGAAATGGTCACGGAAACGAAGACCAGCTGATCAATCTGACGAAACTCGTACTGCTCGCTAGTCGGCGCGACAAGTGGGAAATTATGAAGATGTTCACGACAATAGCCAAAGCACTCAGGTGCCATGTGTATCCCTCTGCAGAAACGCTTTAAGACAACAGGTATCAACACGTTTCGGTCAAGCCTATGCGCGTCTACTGGCTGGTGCCTGTGTCTTCAAAGAGGATACTTGCAAAGCTGTTGGTGCCTGCAGCACCTGAATCTGAGCCTGAAAGCAGACTCAGCCGGCGATTGACTGCTTGCAAGCATGAGGGCCTCGGCGGCACAATCTGACTTTCACTGTGTACTTGGTGAAGGTTGATGTGATGATGAATGATTAGGTGGAGGTCACCTGTGACTCCCGAAAGGCGCTACGGAACTAGACAAAACTTTATGTGAAGATAGACAGCTTGCCTTCCTGAAGATCGGATGATTGCCAGGAAGATATTGCACTTTAGGTTGCTGCGTGAGAGGGCTTTTCTTTCCGACCAGTGGAAATGGCTACAGTCTTGCACTGTTGGGTTGACCTTGTACGGCCTGGCCGAAGCTACCTCCATGCAAGTCTGGCAGAGAGCGCCAGGATGTAGCGTAGCCCAGGCAGAACCATGCCTCCTTGAAGACTTAGCCGACTTAGCCATCATCCAGCGACGTCCGCACTTATGCGTGGAAAGTTGTATTCCTCCGCGCTTCACAGAGGTAGGCATGGTTTTTATGTCATCCAAGCACCCGCACGAGGATGCATGTCCCCACGTCGCGGCTCTTACCGATGGTCGCGAAACTGCTAGTATGTCCTAGAAGATTTCTACTTGGGGCTCGTATCTGCGAGCAGAACGGGCCTAGCCCACAACCCAACAGTAAGCGCCTCGGTGCTTCATGCTTCCGAAGCATAGTCACGCACTGTGATACTGTGGATGCAGGGGGAGCCGAACCCCGGGGCCATGTGCTCCTGCCTGTGCATTGCACACGGGCTCCTCGTCCATGCGCAATGAAGCAGTACCCAGATTCCGCCAACCTTCTCTCCATGAGCAACAACAGGACGAACTCGTTCATGTGCTCACTACAACATTTCCAGGAAAAGAACAAATTCCGAGCATTGCACTGTTGCCCCTGTCACTCCCCTGAGAAGGTTAGCTGTGAACTCGGTCAACGTTTCACCTGCATTGGCTGCATGCTGCAGCTTCGACCCTCTCAAAGAAGTTGGCGACCAGGACTGCGTGTCTTGTGCTCTCTCTCTCTCTCTCTCTCTCTGTCTCTCTCTCCATACATGTATATGTATATATATATAACCTTTCATATATATATATTCGATATCTAACTATCTATCTATCTATCTATCTACCTATCTATCTATCTATCTATCAATCTATCTATCTATGTATATAATATATATATATACACTGTAGTACGGCTAGCATATGACAACGTCACATACAGTTGGGATTTCACGCCAGGCTGTGTCGAAGAGGGTCGTTCAGGGGTGGTTCATGCAAATACGACTTCGATGTAGCCGATTACATTCCGTACGCTGTTTCAGAAGCGGCAGTTGGAGACAACGCGGAGCATGCCTTGCAGACATTGCGCATGGTTGTTCACGATTTCCACCATTGCAGGAAGTTTCAGCCAGCTACTCCATCCTCGCACCCTCGACGAATTTGTTCGCGGATGCCAGACGCGAAAAGGAGCTACATTCGATGCCAAGGTCATCTCAAAGTCACCGGACCTGTCTGAGTGTGCGCGCAAGCCCGATGCTACTCTAAACTCCGCTTGGGCTGATCCAGATTGGGAAGTTGATGACATCTGAGGTGACTTCTCGGGTGCAATAATGAAGCTATTCAGGTTCAAGTCAGTGCAAGCTGCAAGCATTTGTGCTCTTGGGCTTGCATGGTCAAGTTCGAGAGTCCCAGGTTGGAAATCAAGCGAGGCCAGCACTGAAATTAGACTTGCCACTTCAATGCGGCTTCGGCATGAAGCGGTAAGACACTGAGGGTTGGTGTGAACAGCACGTCGGCATTCTGTATCAGTGAGCAGTGCTGCTTGGTGCCTGCTGGCCTTGGGGCCCTGGGGTGGCTATTAGACGGAAGCCATGCGACGGTTGAAGGGAGACTTGGACTTTTATCATGGTGGCTATTATACTTGCTTTGATTTGCAAGCTTGGGCAAAAGTCAATTAGACTTTCATGAACTTTTAAACCATTGCCCCTGCCAGCTATAATCGGGAATACTGTAGCGGTTCAACCAACTGTTACCAATACCACAGAATTGGTATACTTCTGCACACCACTATCATTCACTATCATGTTGCACCGCATAAAGTACTACTGTACAGGTAGATATAACTTGATACGCGTACACTACAACTGCAGTTGCAGTATAACACAGGGTAGCACAGCACGGTGGGCAAGACCTTCACTTAGGCCCCTCACCAGGAGGACTTTGTGGGATGCTGGCCTTGCTGGCCATGGCCTGAGAGCTGCCCCCCGCCGAGGGTGAGAGAGAGAGAGAGAGAGAGCGAGACCAAACAAGCAGGCAAGAGAGAGAGAGAGAGAGAGAGTACTTTCTCTTCGTGTCATGGTCACTTGCTGCTGGTACTACAACTGGAATGTGTCCTTGCAACTTCGCAATTAGTTGGGGGGCGCAGATGGCCTGAGGGATACCTTCAAGGTCGTTACGGTGGTCAGGGTTTAGGAGGGGTAGTTTCGGGGGCGTTCAACAAGGAACACTCAGGGGAATGCGCAACTCTCCATTCTGGGAAGGGGCCTTTCAGACACACCGCAGCGCGCCGACTGGGGTCGGCCTTCGGGCCAAGGGGTTGTCCGCAACCCCTAAACGCCTAGCCATGCCTGCTTTGCGAGTGTGTGAGTCGAAACCCCTAGCAAGCAAGCAAGAGAGAGAGAGAGAGAGAGAGAGAGAGAGAGAGCACCAAGGGGGTAGGCCTGCGGGCCGGGGGCTCCCACAAGGGACCCACAAAGAGAGAGAGAGAGAGAGACGAAGGGGGCGCCCGTGCTGTTTACGACCCTCCCGCCTCTCTCTCTCTCTCTCTCTCTCTCTCTCTCTCTCTCTCTCCCCTTTCTCAGTCTTCTTGGGAGAGGAGAGCCAGAGGGCGAGAGCAGCACCGAAACCACGATTTCCTCTACTACCATCTGTCAGCACTTGTCCTCCGAAAGTGAATGGCCGACTGAATACACAAACGCTGAAGTTGAGGGGCCTGCCCTCATGCAAACGACAAGCACTACAGCATGTGCCCTGGGTTGCACATCAACTATTACCAGCACGACCCCTCAAACGTGTGATCAAGCTTTGTCCTCCTTGAGAGGGATCCTGGAAACTACTTCGGAGCAGCTTTGACCAGCCCAGCGAATCGTGACGCCATTCGCTTATCAGGCCTGCGCTAGGCTTCGAGACACGGAGCATACCTTCCAAGGGCATGTCGCTGCAATGTCGAGTGTGCCACCGCTCACGAGCCCTCCTGCAGATGCTCCTTTTGCAACCCCGTGGCACATGCAGAGTGGATGCTGCTGGATATCACGTACTCTTTTTGTTGGTGCTGTGGAACCACGAGAGCTCTTGCCCGAACTACAAGACGCGAGATCCTGGATCGAGCCAGGCCGGCAGCTTCTCCGCCCATGGCAAAACTAGACGGGGAGGAAGCTCCTTTTGTTCAAGAGTGCCAGACTGCTGTAGATGTGGAGCGACACCTGTGGGATTCAGCATATGGTTCGGTGGCGGATGGTAATATTAGTTTTGATGCAATCGAATATCTCCAAAGCCTCCTGGATGATGTTGCCAGTAGGAATTCCTACCTCCAGACATCCTGGATTGGATGGTTGAGGAGGGACATAGCTTCGAGGACGTCGACAAGGATGCTGTTGCCCCAAACTGTCGCGAGCACCAGAGCCTTTCCGCTGTGTGCTCCCGAAAGGAGCAGGAGCCGGCTGCTGGTGTGCACTGCACTGAGTGACACCTAATATAACATGCGAGCAAACCTGAGATGGCCATATTGAAATGGGGGACACCGGACTCCCCTTCGTTTCCTCGGTCTACCTGTTCCCGATTTAGGTTCAGTGCAAGAATGGAGGCATGTCTCACGCTTTGCCTTTGTGGATGCACTTGAACGAAAACCTCTATCCTGCTGGCGCTGCCGTGATCCTCATTGTTGGGCTTAACTACAGTAGTCGCCAACAACTTGTGAATCCATTGACTTTGTCAGTTCCTCCAGCCCAACCAACACATTCCAGCTATGTGCTTATTGAACTGCGAAATCCTTTCAAGTAGGACGGTTGGTCCCTGTGTTTGATATCAGTGTGGAAACAAGGATAATATTCAATGCCATGAGGCGATTGTGTCTCTCTCTGTCTTGTTGGTGGTCGACCTCGTGCTGGGTGGTACCGGTCCTGCGCGGCGACTGCAAACAGAAGAGGCAGGCGGTCGGCTCCAAAGTTTCGTTTGTAATGTTTTGTGCGATGGGCGGGTTGAGTAGTGATTCCATCCAACCTCTGAGTTAAAACGCTGCACGGCAAGACGGGTTCAACAGAACTGCATTGCAGAGTTGCGTCGACAGTGATTGTGTCCAACAGACGTTGCCAACGGGTTGTGGGCTGGAGCACATCAGGACGGCGACGGCGAAGTACATTGGGCTCATTTGTCCCGACCCATCATACTCGCGGTCATCCTGGCAGGCTTGGTCGGTAGCGACGGCTATTTGTGTTTTGCCTGGCAGGCTATAGCGGCTAGGTCATCAGCCCATTGTAACGGTGCAAGACAGTCTCGGCAGTCAGGAGCTTTGTTTTTCAACAAGTAATGTGACAGCCTGATAGCCCCCCCCCAAACAAAAAGAAGTGACTGAGTAAGGGGCGGGCGCCTGAGTAGTGGTAGCACTAGTAGTCGTCATGGTGGTAGTAGTCGTAGTCGTCGTCGTAGTAGTAGCAGAAGTAGCCGTTGCCGTAGCAGTAGCAGCAGCAGCAGTAGTACTACTAGCGAGTACGAATACGAGTATTGGGATTAGAATGATTAGAAGTAGGAATGGCAGCAGCAACGGCAATGGCAATGGTAATGGTAATCGTAAGCATGACAGGTAGTAGTAGTAGTAGTAGTAGTAGTAGTAGGAGGCACCCCGCCTACCAACTACCTCTGCTACTGACCGCCTTAAGAGCACATCCGTGTTCTTGAATAACTTGGGCTTCGGATTGGGGGGATGGCGGATGGGGGTTGGGGGGGTGCATGATGACGACATTGTTACACAGACACCCCGAACAACATTTTCACGAGACCGTTTTACTCGGGATTTACAGTACTTTCGTGATGTCGGACCTGCTTACATAGTCACCAAACCTACTTCTGGACTTTGCGACCCGACTTTGGGATTTCGGAGGGCTTTCGGCAGAAACTCGAAAATTGGATGGGGAGAAGCTTTTCCGGGGGATGATCACGACACTGTTTCGCGGACACCCCGAACAATATCTCCACACCTAGCGCGCGCACACCACACAGTACTTCAAAAGCAACCCTCCTATGCCAAGGTCTGGGCTTCAGGGGTGTTGGCGAGCCCATCCCACGTACAGCTGGCATCTTTGTTTTTGATGTTTATAAGATGTTGCGCTGCAGGTTTTAGGAGTGTTAAACCTTCTTGGCAGCACCTGCGTTTTGATCGGTATTTACAGCGTTTTCGTACTATCTGACCACGTATGCTTGAGCAGTTTCTTCCCTGTCGAGTTTGCAAGTTCAACTGCTGTCGCAGTTTTGGGGCCTGAGCCTCTGCAACTTTACCGGCTGTGGCAGTTAAGGCAAGTGAGCCTCTGCAACTTCTGCAGCTGTCACAGATAGGGAGCCTGAGTCCCTGCATCGTCTGCTGCTGCCGCAGTTAAGGAGCCTAGAAGCTGCCACTGCCCAGCCCGGACGCGCCAGTAGTTGGGAGGGGGGGGGGGGGATGGCTGGTAGTAGTTAGTAGTAGCGACGAGTGGAAGTCGTCGTCGTAGTAGTAGTAGCAGCAGCAGCAGTAGTAGCAGTAGTAGTCGTCGTCGTTGCAGTAATATCGGTAGCAATGTTAATAGTAACAGGAATAGAAACAGCAATAGTAGGAGCAAGAGGAAGGGTAAGTGCAACAGTAATACATGTGGAAACAGCAACAAGAATAGCAATAGCAATCCGTCACATAAGTAGTAGTAATAGACTAATAGAAGTAGTGAGTGTAGTTGTAACAGTAATCGTATTTGTGGACGTAGTAGTATTAGCACAGGAAATACTGGCAGTTATTCAACACATTAACTGTATTTCACAGTAACAGTGTGAATTACAGTTCGCAAGAGCTTTGGCAGCCATTGCTCAGTGCTCAATAACATGTCCATACATTTTTTGACACGGCGCCCCACATTAACCAATGGCTCACATTACAGGGCAAGCCTTTCCCACAACCGTTCCCGCAGGAGCTAGAACCAATCACCACTTCACTCCGACCCCATTGGCCCACAGACGCTTTTGATTAAGGTGCTCATATATGACAGCACGGACGAAACTGCCGCCCAATAAAGGAAACCAGTATCTAGATAATGTTCGTCAACATCTAGTGTTCAGCTGGTATTAACATCTGCGACCTTTACGACACTATCAGAGTGGAATGTGTGCATGCTGTTTGCGGGCGGCTAACATATGAGCAGCACCCATCCGATGTTTAGAGACTGCATTCACTTAATATTGTGGATACTACGCAAGCACTCTACTTTACCTTTGATACATCGCCAGTACGTGTTCAACTACAAGATGACAACATGACACCATTCTTTAATTGATAAGTCTTGATGAATATTGGGAATTGTTGACCTTTGCAGTATTATGTCTTAGATAGACAACCATACAGGACGTAGTCGATGTAGTCGCTTTGAATCCTATATGAGCTTTTCTGCATCCAGACTGCTACTGCCTCTGTTGGGGTCCCAATGAAGGCTCAAAGCAAAGGTTGAAGCTAGGCGTGCCAAGCATCTTCAAAGGATGCTGCAACCGAGCCGGCAGATCTATCAGCGAACCATTCGTACGCAGTAGGTGAAACTTCATGGATTTCCTGGTTACTTAAACTAAGTCTTAAACGGTATCTATGGATGGGCATAACTGTACGTCTTAGTCGTTTAAAACTTGTATTTGCAGAAAAACCTCCCAAACCTCAGAAAGGGCAAGAGCTCGTGTGCCACAAGCCAGACGGCGATTGAGTAGTGTGACCCCCTGGTTCCATGAGCGAGGGAGGCACACAGATACTCACCCACGCGGGCGCGCGTTCCCCTCTCACAAACGGACACAGACACACGCGCGCCCACACACGTTCACATGCACCTTCGGCGCAGGTCACTGCATCGGATTCCCACTGGCAGCACTGTACTGGCGTTGCTTCATTCTGCCAACGCACGACAAGTTCATCCCTCAAGATGCCGTCATTCCTGAAGCATTGTCTGGAAGGTGGAAGTACAGCCGCTTGCCATCATATGTGGCGCAGTGCTTGAGCAGAGAAGGTCAATCGGGTTGAGCCGCCGACATTGTTCAGAGCAGCAAATAGCTATCTTGACAATGAGCACCTCCCGCTACTGCGGGCATGCGACATGCTCCTCCCAGGTCATTGGGAATTCTTCGGGGCGTGTGGAACCTGCCTAAGTTTCGCTTTCTGCCCGTGCTGTACTCTGAGTGAGAATCTCGTCTGGCTAGCAAAATGTTTCTGAGCGTTGGTCGGGTCGGGACATATAAGACCGGAAATTTGATGTAAAGGCATTTGCAAAAATTGAAGCGCTCCTCTCTGCCACAACGAAACTCTCCTCGTATAGGTACTGGTACCGAGCTGGACACCTCCACGCGAGCTCCAGACACGGTCCGCAACATGTTGCAGGGTGTCCCGGGTATCAGTGCCTGGGCTTGACGTATTTTCGAGCACTGATGGCAGACGAACAGTTGTTCGAAGAAGAACGTCTCATCCACACTTCTCCTGGCACCAGTGACCGTACTGTCAGGTAGTGTCTGCAGAGGGTGGGTAAACCAGATATTTCACACTCCCATCTGGATCTGTCAGGAGACGGGTCCCACGACATGCCTGTCGTTTGTGATGTCTCCCGTCGGTAGGTGCCCACGAACAGATCGTACTAGCGGTAGTGCTAGTAGGTGATTCTTTCACGCGCTGTAGGTCGATGCAGAGTAGAACCACGCACTTCCCTGGGCAACCGTTGAATGCTTGATGTTGTCCAGTCAGCACAGCCACAGCATTCTCTGCAGGTTCTTCCTGGGCTGCTGTGGAATCTGGCTTCTGCAGGAAGCTATGTGCTTCCCGACTTGAATTGAGATGCCTCGCAACTCGCAGCTGCAGGGCTTTCGTTCTGACGTTTGCTAACAACTCGCACGGCTCGTCAGCCAAAGTCTGCCAACGGCAGCCAGCGAAGTTGTAAAGGCAGCCCAGAGCACCAGCTTGGGTCGTCAATGCTCGGTTTACTTTCATTGGCGCGCACACCTTCGGTATAAAGATTTCTCACAAATTTAGTCAGTCGGCCAGCGGCCATGGTATTCTTGCTGGACGTCGGTGGGCAGGTGCATCTGTCAGCACCGGCGATCAAGATTCCAAGGCCTTACGTATGAGATATGTTCCACTGCTGTACCTTTCTGCTCAAGTTTTAGGCTTTCTGTCACTATTCGCTACGGTGGTCATGCTGGCAACGGAAAGCTGCTGCTGTCCCATTTTCCTGCATCGGATATGCAGGCGGGAAGTCATGAAGGCTGCATGCAACTAACGGCTCGACACGAGTCCATCGCAAAATACCATCTGCATCCTGCATAGCTCGTTTGTCTAGCATCCAACAAGCAGGAACAATCTCTTTGTCTGACGTCGGCAGCACGGCAATGCAGACGATCAGGGCATGCCGTCGAATTCGGAGATAGCATCCGGCAAAAATGTAACAGCACATGCCTGTCATTGACGCAACCGACCGTGCAACTTCAGGAATCTTCTTCTGGGCTTATGCAAAAACAGCAGAGCACCATCAAACAACCTCACTGCGAGCTTCTCCAGCTGCGCTACTTCGCAATGTCTTATGCATGTGCCACACACAGGCGACCAGAACTCCATCTTAGTGGCCCGTTGAATCTGCAGCACAAGCGTGAACGCTTGCTGATCACCAGTAGCACGATGACGTAGAAGCATTCAGGATTACGCATGGTGGTGCATATTCACATTCACTTTAGAGAGCTTGTTGTCTTGCAACTGATGCTTGTCAATCTCTCATGAACAAGTTGAGTGGTGTACCTCTTCTGTTTTTCACGTGCTGGACTGAGCTGGCCTGGAGTTACCCTTACGGGAGACTGAATCTGTGACAGACAGCGAGCATGAAAGAGCTGTCAGCTTTTGATGCCACTGTGAATGTGGTCTGAGCACTTGCGGGTTGTGTTTGTGCACCCGCTCCCCACTTTGACGATGTCGTTGTTGGTTGCTTTCTGCTGAGCTTTGGTGAAGCAAGATGCGCAAGGCTGCTGGGAAAGACCGACGAAACTACCAGACCCGGGCATTGGGTTGTTTTTGATGACCGGAGCAAGCCCACCGCTAGAAGGTTGAGGGGACGAGGCCGAATGGTTCGCAGGTTTGTCGGGTTCGCAGTTTTGTCTTGAAAGTAGAACACGGACTATATAGCATTCACCACGAGAAGATCTGGAAGCCAGACTTTACCAATATCGTTGGCCTGCAAAAACTTGGACATTGATGGTGAAGGGTTGTGGTAGAATCCCCTCGACTCCTCGTATGGTCGTGGTGAGCTGCGTTGTCCCCCCTCCATGTAGGATCCCCTTCCCCCGCCCTTCGGTTTGCTGTTTTGTTTACGACGTTGATGGCGGTGGCTTGTCACGATCATGAAGAAGACGATGATGTTGTCGTTGTCGTCGTCGTTGTTGTTGTTGATCTTAGGTATGTCGGTATGTCATGGAACATTGCCGGTTGGGTGTTGAGATGTGGATCAGGGGTTTAGGGTTGAGGGCTTGAGGGCATGTGCGCTGCAGCCTCTCCTCGAAAAGGTTTGAGGGCTTGTGGCTTTGGTATTGTTTCGGCTGTGAGCTTTTACAGTACAACAAAGTTCCCAGCAGCCCATGATTTCCATCTGCGCGGGGCAGGGGCGGGAGGGTTCAGTGCGAAAAACTGGCAGAGCCTTGCAAAGATGGTCAAAACGGTCGACCGTCACGAGGATGGCGAGGCGGACAATCACCCTCCCTGCGACTGTGTGCACTGTTGGACGCCCGAGCTGGCCCTGGGGTATGGAGAATTGACGCTGCGAGACGGAAGCATATACTACTGTATGTAGCATAGGTGGTATACATTTTTGCAACTTCCACTGAGCCCGTACAGAACTGTGTTGCCTTGCCGTCGCTTGGTTTGCCCATGATCATGCGGTCTCATGGTTTGGAGACCGAGGCTGCTGCTACGTCGTCGGTCTTGCAGCTGGCACTGGGGGTTTGGGATTTTGTAGCGAGGACAGCGAAGGACTCCGGGCACTGCCTATGCCCCTTCCGTATCGCTGGAACTTCAAGAAAGGCCTCCTTGAGCCTCCGAAGCACAGGCTCCACACTGTAGTGGACTAACCCAGTTCCAGGATCCGGGATGGGGAGCGTTGTCCCATTCCGACAGCGCTACGGCCTTCGCCACGCTGGTTGCTTGGCTGACATTGGCCCATTGCATAGAAAGGAGTCTTTCTTAAACAGATGTATGTACTGGAATAGAGACGAGGGAAGGGGTGCTGATGTCTGCTGTGAAGTGCATTCCAAAAGCAGCTGATGGGTCAGCTGGTGTGCCGATGCGAGTGGTGTTGGCAGGCTGGCCGACCTTCATTCGTGACTGCTGCTGCTGGCTTTGGTGTAGCTGGGCCTTACTATATTTAGTGACCATGGTGACTTTTCAATAGAACAGAGCAAGGAAACACAACTCTGCTAGCAGCGGTTGAAGTACGAGTAACAGTGGAGGTTAGTACGCGAGATTTCTGACATTTGGTTGGTGACGCAGCGCAGGAAAGCAAGACATGGCATGGCATTCTTCTCCAATGGATACGTCTCCCTTCCATCATTCCTTTTCCGCCCAGCATCTCCATTCAGGTGTCCCTGATGGCTTGGGCCCCCCAAACTAATTAGCATCTCATGCTTTACTTTTGGTTTGATGATCCAAGATATCTTCGGCCGTCTTTTCTGCTGTGGCAGCAGAGCTCCTAGAGCTTTCTGTTGCATCCTCCTTTGAAGCCTTGCTCTGCGCCTCCACCGGGTCCCAACCAGACGCGGTAACATGGAGGCAAAAATTTCAGGAAGCCTCGGCATCTCGGAAGTAAACAGCCGATGCGAAATCTTCGTGAGAGCAGCACTCCAATAGCCCCTTTCGAGTGACTGATGCAACCTCCAGGTTGTTTTGATGATTGTTTTTCCGGCCCAGGCTGACTGAACACCACAGGATGCATCGTTGCCACGTTGTTTGAGGGGAGTTTTCACAGCGCTATGCCGTTGCCTCCGCAGGTCTGCCGTGCCAAGCTACACGGGAGTACCGGCAAGTGACGGACACTCTGGCAAACTGGCCGCTGCAAACCTCGAGTCCTGCACCGGCGACGCCTGACTGCAGTTCAAATCTTTGAGTAGCTGCGTCATCCCTATGTCCACTCTGTTCGGTCGTCGGCATGCCCTAACAGCCTTAACACATGATTGGGGCACATGCCGCGAGGAGTTTGTGCAGGTAGCCTGTCAGTTCTGTCAGAGCTGTCCACTCCAGGACACAGCCTGAAAAGCGGAAGAAGACAGAAGTTCAGCCTTGGGCGACCTAGGGCCATGGTGGTCGGGCAGCCAGTGGCAGTTGCCCAAGCACATCGACCGCAACTTTGGGTTCAGAGGGCAAGGGCAAGGGGCGAGAACAGAGTGGAATGTAGAGGAGAGCCGCTTGTGATACACCGTCCTCCCGAGCACTTACCCACAGGAAGATGCAGGCAAGCTATTCACGAGGGCTGTGCTGCACTTGGCAGTCAACTCTGCGTTGTTGTTGGGGCTTCCAGGGCAGCTGTGGGATAAAATCCAGCGAACACCACTTCCAGGTCTTCTGCGACCGTGCCGTTGTTCCCATCTTCCAAAGTCTGACATGCCGAAACTCAGGCGCCCGGGCAGCCTGTCGCTGCATACACGACTGCGCCGAAAGCTTTCTGACCCCAGGATCAATTTCCTGCAAAGCGAATGCTAAGCCATTTGCTTGTGTTTCACAGACTGCTCGCTGTGTCGCCCAGTTGTGAGGGTGAAAGACCCGATCTGGATGTGCGGACCATAGACTCGTCAAGCACTCGGCGGGGTCTCTGAGCCAAAGAGCAGAAGTTCTGCATGTAGTCTCGTATACGTCTGAAGCATCCGAGCCTTTTCACAGACGCTTGAAATAAGTGACGCCCTTCGAAAAGCGTTCACACTTGGTGCGACAAGTCGAAGCTCAAATGGCCCAACCCCATCCAAAAGTTTCCTACGTATCTTTATTATATGTCCAGAGGAAGCTTGATGTTTCTCAACACGTGAGCACGGCGACGGGGTTCTGCCGGAGGTCGCCAAGACGCTGCTGGGGCCAGAGTTTGCCGGCCGTCGGACGCTGCTTTCAGCATCCAACCTCGTGTGCGTGTGTTGCAGATATGGTCTTTGACCGAAGTAGGGCTAGAACATCGTAGTCTGAGCTTTTGAAATTAACCATGCAGTCTTTCTGCCAGTGAGCAGGTACATAGCAGTTGGAAAAACAATTCCTAAATGAAGTGTAGGAGGAGTTACGTGTTGGACTTGTCACCGACAGGTTCCAGTTCCTTGCAGACAAGAGAAGCTGGTTCCTGAAAGATCCCGATGCCGACGTCGGTGGCTGGGAGGACAGTGTTCGCTTCCTTACCCCATGGTCGGAGGATGTGAGCTGAGTTCAGAAAAGCATTCGCGAGCAGCCCTTTGGCCAAAGAAGGATGGCCTTCCTAGTCAAACCAATTTAGCTTTCACTGAATTACAGCGTCGCCTGCCGGGATTCGTTTTGCACGGTTTGCTTGGAAAGATGAGTGGATTCATGTCGGAGGATCTGCCCGTGGAAAGTGTGGACTAGCAGCTCGTATGTGGGCAGGGGACTTGGCAATCTTCGCCTGCGTTAAGTCTTATCGCCCCCGGCACGCACATCATCTTTGACAGACTACTGACAGAACGCCAGACCCGAGATCCGAGACCTCGCATGCACTCTTTCTGTTGCCTTCAGGCCTGCGATGTACACCTGATCCAGCGCGAATCCGAAGCAGTGAGGTTTGATTCGTCGCCAAAGGCGTTCCAATCACACAGTGTCTTCGCGGAAAATGCTTTCCGCTGTCGTGCCGCAGCGCTGGCAGGGGTTGCAGCTCCTCGGAGGTACGACGAGCATCATGTCTTGCAGCCCCACTTCCGGGCACTAGCCGCACAACATGCATTAGAGCAGCGATTTCCCTGCTAGCACGTTTCACCTTCGTATCGGCCAGTTGCGGTGCGGAAGAAGATGCAGATAGCGCCGATAGCGGGGTGGGG